GTGGCGGCTCTCCCGATGAAAGTGTTTGTATCATTGTGATAAAGTTCCTGGTCCATGGTCTCACAATTGCCTTGTGTCCTGATCTTATGTCGCAGGAGTTGAGCCGTTGAAAGAAGATTAAAGCCAAGTCAAGCGATGATAAGGACATTCGTAACGTGTAAGGAAAAACCTGTGTCCACAGAATCCAACATGGCGCTGCCGATTGACCTTGCCATAATGGTTTGTCCATTTGCAACTGTGACAGGTAGTGGACGTCGAAGCAGACGCTGATGAGTAATGAAGAGCGTCTCGGCAGAGCACATGTGTTGTCCACAACAACTGTCAAGATACCAAGTGTTTGGTCCTGCAATAACCCGAGCAAGATTAGCATATACTTAAGGTAAAATCATGTTTTCAGGTTGCTCGATGGAGTTTTCGGCATCTTCATCATCGAAATCTGAGTCTGTTGCATGAACTATTGTAACACACCTAAAGACGTGTTTTCCTGATGTTGCAGGAGTTGTTGTTGGTGGATTCTGCTTCACGGGTTGCTTGAACTGCTGCGACTGCTGCTGCACTCCTCTTTTCCTATCAGCTTGAAGCTTGTTACAAAATCTTATGCTGTGTCCATCCTTTTTGCATAAGTGAAAGAATAACTTGTTGACTCGTTTCGTGGGCGTTGAATAAAAATTGATGTTAACTGCTCCCTTTTTGTTACGTGCTGTCTGCAGGTCAAGATCTTGCTGCTCTACTTGAAGGATTGAGCAGATTTATGTTTCCAACAGATTTGGTTAAGGACGAAGAAGAGATCGACACTGCCGCCATTCTGCTCCAAGGCCGGCAAGAAGGATTGTTACAAACATGTCCTTTGGGAAGTATCCGCTTCACTTTTCCAATTGGTCACGAAGTGTTCGAGCCCTGTTGATATAATCCGAAACGTTCTCGTTGCCGTGGATCTGTACAGTTGTCAGTTGTGAGAGAACTTGACTCACGGAAATTGTATCATGTGCCATGTATAATCCCTTCAAATGCTTCCACGCAGATTCTGCTGGAATCAAACTGGTGTGAAGAGAGCGTATACCAAGCTGCTCTTTCAGAGACAGATTGCGGATAAGGACAGTATAAGCGCTGAGTGAAGAATGAAGAAAATGGTGTTGTTCCATCGGTGTTCCCGTAACAGGATACGAATAATCGCCACTGAAGAACGGCCACAATCCAACGGATTTCATGAGGAGCCTGAATTCGAAACTCCAAGCGTAGAAGTCAGCGCCATTAAAAGGTATAGTTGTCTTGATTTGTGTATTGCTTAAAAGGTTCAGTGCCTGAAAGACAGGGTAGTGAAAGAAGTCTGCTCTGCGGAAACTGCTGTTGCGGTTGCTGTTGATATTGCTGTTGTTGCTAAAACTGTTGTTGTGCTTGCTGCTGTTGTTGAAGAAATTGAAATTGTTGATGTTCAGCATGCGTAAACGCAAACGAAGAACTGGAGCTTGGAGCGGCTGCAGCTCTTGCATAGCTGGAACCATCAATGCTCATACCACTGAAAGCCGCTGTTACCGATGCTGCCGCTTGTTGCTGTAATGTTGTAGGTGCATAGGACGAAGTCCCCGGTGGATGCACAGTAGGCAAACCTTGCTGCTATTGCGGCATCCCAAAAGAATATGCAGGTGGAAGATTTCTAGCTGCAGAGTCACCTGCTTGACCAGTGAAGACTGTAGGATTTGTAATACCCGTGGGTCCAGTTGTTGAAGAAGCAGACGTTGGAGATGGTGATGGTTCAATCATTTGTAAAATTGACGATAGTCTTAATTCCAGACAGCTCTCATACCATGAAAGAATTTGAAAGGTGGTGCAGGAGACTAAGAATAGAATCTGCAGACACAAGTACTTGCAGTAGAAAGTAATACTGGAAGTACCTCCAGTAACAGTCAGTATTAACAAGTTATAACACCAGAGTCAGTGTTACAGCCTTGCGATACTTCAAGACTTAACCAAGGATCTTTGCTGGAATGGTAGACTAGTAAGACAGCAGAAGTCTTAGAACTTGTAAAGTATTGACCAGAATTTACTGAAGGACAAGTTAACAATTGAAGTTGTACAAGCTACTTTTATATTTGCTAGAAGTACCTATTCGGTGATGTACATGTTCGAGCTATTTGTGCTATGTGCTTTAACCGATACTGAAAAGAGCGTGACTGTTCGCGTGACTGAAACGGCTTGCTGACGTAATCATCCAGACGAGCGCTATTTGCTGACGTCATTCTACGGATACTAACTATAGTGTAACTCGACAATATCTAGCAGGACTACTTACAGAAATGCTTAAGTACGATTTTATCACAACAGTGATCAGAACACAACTTCCCCGGTGTCAACTCTTATCATCCGCGTTTTACAGAAACTGGTTTACAAGTATTGGGACTTGCGGTCGCAGTACAGGCAAACAGCAGTAATATTTTGGACCCGAAAACAGTTCGTCAAGCTTTGACAAGTTATTTTCCGGTAAGAACTCTACTCCCCTTTGTTGCTGTCAGCGGGATTAAATCGCAAGTACCTCTGTTTTCCAGAGCTGCTAACTCTCGGTCCATGGCTTCGCCCCATTTCTCTCGATGTTGACTTGTCAAAGCTTGACGAACTGTTTTCGGCTCCAAAATATTGTACTGCTGTTTGCCTGTGTAGTTCACTTGGCCTCCGGTGCCAACACATCTGAAATCTTTACGAAGGCGCTTGTGCCTAAAGATCATCAGCGGTACTGTGTACACCTTGGTCTAGTTCGTGTAGCTGCTCTCTTGCCAGGACCTTGATTGTATACTATATATTGTATTATGGCTGAGAAAAGGCCTTAGGATCTTTTCAGAGACTAAGTCCACTTGTACAAAACGCTTGAGTAGTGCAGCGGAAGTGTTGAGTAGTTGAACCCTTGCACTAGTATGTGAGAGGAAGTGATTGATTAAAAGAAACAAGCATACAGCTATATATAGAAAATAAGATATAAAGCAGTTGTAGAATACAGTTGTAGGAACGGTTATCGAGTCGCACAGCGACTCGCTTGTCGGTTCGGTTACCACCCTTGCAGTCGTAACGATCAATCGCAATCTCCGGTTGCGACCCTTCGAATCCCTTCGCCCTTTCGTATTCTTTCGTCCAAACTCCTCGTGTAACCTCTGTTGTCTCGCGTATCCGATACGACTTTCTTCGAGTGTAGTGTTACACTTCAGAAACGCTTAAGTCTTCGAGGTATTTCCAACAATCTTGATTGTCCTTGTGGCTCCTCTTCCAGTGGCTGGACCTGTAGTGCCGCCCCGGGTTGCTCTTGTTTCCTTTGTTCTCTTGCAGACTTGTCTTCAGACTCTTGCATTAGTGGTTGGACTAGTAGTGCCACCCTGAGCTGCAAGTCACGTACTAGTCGTTGCCCTTGTCTAGCCTAGGGGGTGTGTCAATATATATTTGTATATGTTATAGGCTAGATAGGTGCATGCTCATAGAGAGTACAACATCTTTTGACAGAACCACCCTATATCACTCATTCTAGCTAATTCGTTACTCTGAGACCCATAACCCCCCAAACATAGAGGCATGTGGTCGTTCCCCGAGGATCTTCTCAAGGGCAACCCTAGCGGGTCTCTCGACAGTTGCCCCCTGGAGTCTCCTTGTAGGTGCGGCAGCTCGTACCGTTTGGCGGTTTCGCTGTGCGAAAAAATCCTGTGAGGCTTTGTCCAACGTCTTTGATGCGCTTCACACGGTCCTCACCACCTTTCTTCTAGCTTGCCACATTTTCTCCTGGCGCTGCTCCTTCCACTTCAAGAAGAAGAGGGCCCGCTCTGAGTCCAGAATCTCGCTTGCCAAGAAAGGCATGTGCCTCAACTTCGCTACCAATGGCCAAATCCACGTACACCCCGCTTTCAAGGAGTCTTGGCTGCTCAACAACCCGTTTCGCCCTCCACAAGTCTTTGCCCCAGCTCTTGGATCACTGCACTCTTCAGGACTTCTGCTCGTTTGCAATTGGTAACTTTGATGGGGTGTATAATGTGTGTTTACGTACATCCTTTTCCGGGTGTTAGCGTTAGGCATATACATTCCTGTTGCATGTGTGTACCGGTTACGACCTATATAAAACCTTCGAACCTTCAAACCGACTAGTCCTCCCTCCCTCCATCAACAGCCCACAGAAGCCCGTCATTCTGACCGTGTCGATTGGGCAGCGACAAATTGTTTGTCTGTCCTGAGTACAGTACAACGTAGGGCGGTCCCTAGTGTGGCGTGTGTGGGGTGGTTTTTTATTGGAGGATGATAGCCACGACAAGTGATGCCGTACAATATACAGTACTTGTTTTCTTGTGTAAACCTGTCTGAGAGCAGAGCATTGCGTGCCAGCCTCTCTAACAGCTTCCGAGCAGGATGCTAGGACCAGGACTCTCGCTAAGCCTAGGGTATTCCGTTAGGTCACGGAATCGGCCCCGAAAATACCCGTTAGCGGACGGAATCGCGGAAAGTTTACCCGTTAGCATACGGATTCGTCGAAAAGCTCCACGGTTTGATTCTAACATCCTTGAAGGCAATGTCCTTGGACACGGCAAAGGAAAACCCATCAAAACCCCAGGGACTGTTTCTCGCGGATACTCTGCCTGAGGCAGTTGGAAGAGTAGAAAAACTCCCGGCAAATAACCTCGCGCTTTGCATAGTGGAGGAAGTTGGGAAAAGTAGTGGGGAGGGCGGGAAGGGGTGATACACCACTACGAACAGATCTCCCACTGCAATTGCACTTCGTACGGAATCAAATAAAAGTAGCCCGTAATGTCAAGGAATCACACGAAAAGTAATCCGTCAGGCAGACAGAATTAAAAAACGTTTACTATGCAAAAAACAATTCTTAATTTCGCGACATTAAGGGTAATTCCCTTGTTAGCCAGAGCCCTGCCTAGGACCACAAGTGAGTTGCGTGCTGCTCAACTCAAGGCCAGGATTAGGTTTGGGACATCATGTCCACACCACTTCTTGTCTTGCAAACAGTGGCTCATATTCTTATACTTTCTGAAGTCTGCCAGTTCCCTGAGAGGCACGCGCTGGGGTAGAATCGACCAGCAGTATTTATTCGTTTCTCATGTCGATATCAGCGCCGTGCCGCGCATGCTAACTCCTGTCGGCATTTCCGGCGGGAAATCGAAGCCGTCTCGTGCTGTATAGTTTTCAGACGTTGACTTGGTCCTTACGAGCTATGACACAAACGCAGTCAGAGGCGACGTGGGTGGTGGAGGTGACCAAGTACAAGGACGTCAGCAAGGATGCGCTCAGCGTCGCCATGGCAGATCTCGAGGCGGAGGTGTCGCGGGGAAACGGGCCGATCACCATTCTGCTCGTGCACGTCATGACCGAGGTCCCTTGCTCCCGTGAGTCGGAAATAGGTCTCTTGCTCCCGTGAGTTGGTAGCGACGCTCATTTGCCTCCGCTCGCGTATCGTCATCACCAGCGTCGTCGCGTAGAGCCTCGTTTGCTACCTCATTACATGTTAGGGTTCGTGTTAAAAAGGGCAGCTCATTTTGTTATTGTATTGCCTTTACATTCGCGTCGTTCCACGATTTTCTCGAGTGTCTTTTGAGTCGACTCAAAAGTCACCTCGAGTGTCTTGATTGATCCTGCGGCAGAGGATGGCGGAAGGATCTCTATTCCGTTACAAAGCAGAGGTTCGTCTGGTTCGCTAAGGAGGCACGAAGAGGCCCATTCTCCTCCCTCTCTAACTCCCCCATGCGCGCGCGTGCAGGCGGCATGGACCTCCCCGCGAGCGAGGTGGACCCGAAGACGGCGCTGGAGCACGGCAGGCGCCTCGTCGAGGTCATGCTCCGCCCGCTGCTCGCGCACGCCAAAACCAGGAAGGTGCGAGCGCACGCCAAAACCAGTAAGGTGCGAGCGCACGCCAAAACCAGTAAGGTGCGAGCGCACGCCAAAACCAGTAAGGTGCGAGCGCACGCCAAAACCAGTAAGGTGCGAGCGCACGCCAAAACCAGTAAGGTGCGAGCGCACGCCAAAACCAGTAAGGTGCGAGCGCACGCCAAAACCAGTAAGGTGCGAGCGCACGCCAAAACCAGTAAGGTGCGAGCGCACGCGAAACCAGGAAGTCGTGAAGCACACGCCAAAGCCGGGACGGCGCTGCTCTGCGGCAGCGTGAAGAAGAGGCAGATCATGCCAAGTAGACGGCCGCTTCCACTCGCGCCAAATCGCACAGGCGTTGAGTTGTGGAGCCGTCAACGGCGCGCTCACGGCTAGCTCATGGCGAGTGGGAGTGTCGTGGACGCGTGGGAAGCCCAGTGCGTGGGTAGAGAGGTTGCTCGAGGCGACGTCTGGTGCATCGCGTCCCACGGCTCGTTGCCGCCGGGCCAAGCCACTGGAGCGGCGGGACACGAGCGATGGCGGGACTCCTTTTCACAAAACCCCATAGACTTTCACTCTTTCGTGAACCGCCGGCCGCCTTGCCCCCTGGCCCCCCCTCTCCCCTGGGCCCTAGGTGCACTGCAACGCGTCCATCGAGCGCAACGACCGCAAGGAGCTGGGGCTGTGTGCTGCGGCGCGCCGAGCCAACGCGCAGCGCGTCTATGTGGGCCTGCGCAAGTGAGCACATCTGCAATTCTCGACTCTCGCTGTTGGCGCTTACAAGCGTTGCCCCCTTGTATCCTTGTTGCGGGGCGCCTTGCTGTGTGCCAAGCCTGCTGTTGTATGTGTGCCAGTGCCGCCCCTCTCTCACACGCTCCGTCTTTGCATGCGACTCTCTGGGGCTGTCCGGTTGTTGTGCGTGCGGGTGCGTGCGTGCGGGCGGTGCGGTGCCTGGCAGGAAGCTGCTGGGGTGGTCGTCGTCAGCGTCGTCGCACTACGAGGCGGGGCTGCCGCCGTCGTGTCTGCTCGTGCTCGTGCAGGCCGCCAAGCTGCTGCAGTCGCTGCCGGGCGCGGGCGGGGACTCGCCGTTCTTCGTCGTGCCGCTCAACGCCTTCATCTTCTGCCGCTACAACGCCCCCGCTGCCCCCGCCTCCGCCGCGCCCGCCTTGTCCGCGCCGCTCTCAGGGTCGGGGTCCGCCACGCCGGACTCAGAGCACCTCTCAGGGTCGCGCATCAATGCGCAGTTGCTGCTCGCCCCACAGGCAGCGGCCATGGGCGCGGCGGAGGCGGCGCTGGCAGGGCACCGCGCGTCGTCGTCCCTGTCGCACGTGGAGGGGGACGATCTGCTGCAGTCGCCGCACCAGGCGCGCTCCTCCAGCGCGCGCTTCTCCCTTGCGCCCGGCGCGCTCGACACACCCACCGCTGCGGGCGTGGCGGGCGTGGGAGGCACGTGGGGGACGGGGTCGCTAGGCACGTCACCCATGGTGCCAAGGGGGGGTTTAGGAGGGGCAGGGTTGGGGCCGGGGCTGGGAGCAGGCATGGGGGAGAGCAGAGCAGGCAGCAACGGAGGCCTGCATGGCGCGCTGATGGGCGGCGCAGGGGGCGCTGCAGCTGCTGCCGTGTCCCCCGCCATGCAACCCACGCCCCACCTCTCCCTGTCCCCGCCGCCCCCTGCCTCTGGCCACGCGCGCGCGTGCCAGCAGCAGAGGGTGCTGGCGGCGTGCAGCACGGACCCGCTCTCAGACAGGCCGCGCCACGCCCCCACTGCGCGCGCCTGTGACTCGCCCGCACCTCTCTGCGCCGGGCCCTGTGGGGGTGGTGCCGCCTGTGGGGGGGATGGCGTGAATCTGTTGGCGGGGGCGGGGAGGGGGGCAGAGCAGCTACGGCCAGGAGTGATCTACTCGTCCGTGGAGGACACGAGTGACGGGGGGGGGAAGGCGGGGGGCGGCAGTGGCAGCGCGGCCGACCAGAGCGGCGGCAACGCAGCCTTCCTGGCGGACCTTGGCGCCTGCACGTCCTCCTCCCTGCAGGTGCATGCCCTCCTGTGCTCGCTCTGCTCTCGCGCCTGCGAGGCACCCTCCCCGACTCCTCCTCGCTGCCTGTCCCTCTCATGCCATGGCAACCCCTTGCGCTGTGCCTCCCTGCTGCTCTCCATGCACCAAGGGCTCTACTCTGCGCTTCTCGCCTCCGCCCTCCTCTCCGTGCTCTCATGTTCCTTCCTCTCTTTCCTTGTCTTCCGATGGTGTCTGGCATGTGGGGCATGACGTGTGGCATGTGGGGTATGGCGTGTGGCATGTGGGGTGTGGCGTGTGGCATGTGGGGTATGGCGTGTGGCATGTGGGGTGTGGCGTGTGGCATGTGGGGCATGGTGTGTGGCGTGGTGGCGCATGGCATGGCATGGCATGGTGCGGTGCCAGCAGGAGGAGCGCATGGCCAGTTTGCGCGCCATGCTGCCGGTTGATGCGTCCACGGGGCACACCTCATCCAACGTCTCCGCCTTTTCCTCCGTGGAGTTCCCCGGCCTTGCTGCCGCCACCCTGGCTGCTGACGCCCTTGCAGCTGACTATCGTCCTGGGGTGGCAGCAGCAGCCATAGCCGAGACTCTCGCCCATCACCACCATTCGCACCACCCCTCGCTGCTGCCCCTTCCCCCCGCGCCCCCCCTGGACGACGCCGCCTTTCATCGCACCCTCTCCGACGCCGCCCGCCCAAAGTCCGGCCTGCCGCCCGCACGCGCCGCAGCGAGGGACTCAGGAGGGGGTGTGGTGGGAGTGGGGGGGGGAAGTGGCGCAGGCGGGGCGCGCGAGCCGGTGCGGTCGAGCAGCGCCAGCGCCATGCCGCTGGACGCCGCTGCTGCCGCCGCCGCTGCTGCCGCCGCTGCCGTGGCCTACTCGGGCGCCTCCCCTGCGTCCACAGGTCGCCTCACCCCGCCCCTCCACGCCGGAAGGGAGAGCCCAGGCGGGCGGCGAGTGGCCTTCCACGTGGGGCTGGCGGGCGGTGGTGCTGCCAGCATGCAGGGGGGCGAGGTGGCGGGGCAGAGGGCGGAGCAAGGGGTGGGCACGGAGGTAGAGGGCAATGGTGGTGGGGATGGGGATGGAGGGGGAGGGGGAGGGGGCATGCGGTCGCTGCTGGCGGACGAGCTGGCGCTGCTGGATGAGGAGGAGGAGGCGGCAGGGGGGGGTGGGGAGGAGCGGTGGGAGGGCAAGGCAGTGAGCAGCAATAGAGCGGCAGAGGCTGGCGCAGAGACACGCGGCAGTGAAAACAAGTCAGAGGTCAGTCGCCTCACTCAAGCACTCACCATCGCCTCTCTCGCCTGCCCCTCTATTCCTGCCTCTTCCATCACCCAAACCTCTCAGTGTGCGTACTTTCCCATCCCTCTCCCTACCCCCCCTCCCCCACGGCCCCCCCTTCAAGCTTAACCCCTTGCTGCCCCCCCTTCTCTCTCTCTCTCTCGTGCATGTGCGCCCAGCGGTTTCTCTCGCAGCAGCTGCGTCTCTTGCAGCTGAGTGGGCCGCACTGCACTCTCTCCTCCGACTCGCCTGTGCCCGTGCTGCCGGACACAGCATCGGGGGGGGAGGCGGCTCGCCCGGTGGCAGAGATGGAGGCGCCTGGGCAGGCGGGGGCGGCGCCCAGCAGCCGCTTCTCGTCGCGCTTCTCGTCATCGCGGCCCGCCGCCGCTGTCTCCTCGCTGCTGCCTCCCGTGGCGGCAGGCTTCAGCGCGAGCGGGGCCGGTGGGGGGCACAGTGTGGGCGCACACAGCATGGGGCAGATGGACCTGCGCGGGCTGGGCGGGGGGGGCGACGGCTTTGACTGCCGCCTCTTCACGCCCAAGCAGCTGGAGAAGGCGACGCGCGGCTACGCGCGGGAGAACCTGCTGGGGCGGGGTTCGTTTGGGTACGTGTTCCGGGGCGAGATGCTGGGGTGCAAGGTGGCGGTGAAGCGGCTGGAGGGGCAGGGGTGGCAGGGGCCGGACGAGTTCCGCATGGAGGTGGAGGTGCTCAGCCGCATGCGCCACCCCAACATCGTGCTGCTCATGGGCTGCTGCGTCGAGGAGATGGCGCTCATCTACGAGTTCCTTTCGGGCGGCACACTGCAGGACAAGTTGGGCCCGCCCAAGTCTCCCGACGCCGTGCCTCTGTCGTGGGTGGACCGCCTGCGCATCTTCTCGGAGATCTCCTCGGCGCTGCTCTACCTGCACCAGAACGAGCCGCCCATCGTGCACCGTGACCTCAAGCCGGACAACATCCTGCTGGACGGGCACATGATGAGCAAGATCGGCGACGTGGGGCTGGCGCGCCTGCTGTGCGCCGACGACGTGATGACAATGAAGGTGCGCGGCACAGCGGGGTACATCGACCCCGAGGAGGTGGAGACGTGTGAGATCAGCGTGCTGTCCGACATCTACGCCTTGGGGCTCATCCTGCTGCAGCTGCTCACGGGGCAGAAGAGTGTCAAGGCCGTGCACCGCATGCTGGCCGACGCCACCGCGCACCAGGGCCGGCCTGGCCATGGCCGGGGCGCGGCGGTGGCGGCGGAGGTGGTGCTGCGGTACCTGGACAGTGCGGCGGGCGACTGGCGCCTGGACCTGGCAGAGCAGGTGGCAGCGCTGGCGGTGCGGTGCGCTGAGCGGCGGCGGGAGAACCGGCCCGACCTGGCGGAGGAGATCCACCCCACGCTGGTGCGCGTGGCGGGCGAGGCGGCGGCGGAGGAGAAGCGGCGCAAGAAGCGCATCGACTCGCAGTTCATCTGCCCGCTCTCCAAGGTGCGTGGGACTCGCAGTCCATCTGCCCGCTCTTCAAGGTGCGTGGGACTCGCGGTTCATCTGCCCGCTCTCCAAGGTGCGTGGGACTCGCGGTTCATCTGCCCGCTCTCCAAGGTGCGTGGGTCTCGCAGTTCATCTGCCCACTCTTCAAGGTGCGTGGGACTCGCGGTTCATCTGCCCGCACTCCAAGGTGCGTGGGACTTGCAGTTCATCTGCCCGCTCTCCAAGGTGCGTGCAACTCACGGTTCATCTGCCCGCTCTCCAAGGTGCGTGGAACTCGCAGTTCATCTGCCCGCTCTTCAAGGTGCGTGGGACTCGCGGTTCATCTGCCCGCTCTCCAAGGTGCGTGGGACTCGTGGTTCATCTGCCCACTCTCCAAGGTGCGTGGGTCTCGCGGTTCATCTGCCCGCTCTCCAAGGTGCGTGGGACTAGCGGTTCATCTGCCCGCTCTCCAAGGTGCGTGGGACTCGCGGTTCATCTGCCCGCTCTCCAGGGTCAGCCCAAATGCCAGCCTTGCAGGCCGTTTGCTTGAGCGTTAACGGAACAGCTCACCAGCCCAATGACTAGGCCAGCATCCAAAGCGTCTTCATCGGCCGTTCTTCAACTACGTGGTCTTGTGTTTTCCATGGTTGAATGCATGGGTGTGTGCGTGTGTGGATGGATGTGTGTGCGTGCGTGGGTGTGTGCATGTGTGCATGGGTGTGTGCATGTGTGCATGGGTGTGTGCGTGCGTGGGTGCGTGCATGTGTGCCTGGGTGTGCTGCACGCTGTGTGTGTGCATGTGTGCCTGGGTGTGCTGCACGCTGTGTGTGTGCATGTGTGCCTGGGTGTGCTGCATGCTGTGTGTGTGCATGTGTGCCTGGGTGTGCTCCATGCTGTGTGTGTGCATGTGTGCCTGGGTGTGCTGCATGCTGTGTGTGTGCATGTGTGCCTGGGTGTGCTGCATGCTGTGTGTGTGCATGTGTGCCTGGGTGTGCTGCATGCTGTGTGTGTGCATGTGTGCCTGGGTGTGCTGCATGCTGTGTGTGTGCATGTGTGCCTGGGTGTGCTGCATGCTGTGCGTGTGCATGTGTGCCTGGGTGTGCTGCACGCTGGGTGCGTGTATGTGTGCATGGGTGTGCTGCATGCTGTGTGTGTGCATGTGTGCATGGGTGTGCTGCATGCTGTGTGTGTGCATGTGTGCCTGGGTGTGCTGCATGCTGTGTGTGTGCATGTGTGCCTGGGTGTGCTGCATGCTGTGTGTGTGCATGTGTGCCTGGGTGTGCTGCATGCTGTGTGTGTGCATGTGTGCCTGGGTGTGCTGCACGCTGGGTGCGTGCATGTGTGCATGGGTGTGCTGCATGCTGTGTGTGTGCATGTGTGCATGGGTGTGCTGCATGCTGGGTGCGTGCAGGAGGTGATGAAGGACCCGGTGGTGGCGGCGGACGGCTTCACCTATGAGCGCGACCACATCGCGCGCTGGATGGCGTCGTCCGCGCTCTCGCCGTCTACGGGGCAGCCGCTGCCGCACACGTGCCTCACGCCCAACAATGTGCTCAAGAACCTCATCGCCTCCCACAAGTTCCACTGACACCCCCCCTGCCCTCCCACAAGCTCCACTGACGCCCCCCCTGCCGCCCCGCGCTCTGCGCCACAAGGAGACGGGTGGGAAACTGAGAGGGAGCGCATATTTCCTAGAAAAAGGGTTTCTGCGGTGCCACGTCGCCCCGCCATCTGTTGGTATGCCCTCACCTCGTGCAGGGTCCAGGTGCCCATCAGCCTTTGTAGATGCGGCATTCTTTTCAGGGAATGAAGAAGCAGATGGCAGCTTTCAACTGCCTGTAATAATCTGTTAGTCTTCTCCTGCAGTTCTTCAACAGGCATTTTACTGCAGCTGTAGTTAACTGCATGCACAACCAGCGAGCAGTTAGACAGGAAATCGTTGCTGATCTTGCACCTGGACCCTTATCATATTATAATATGAGGTTGCTATCGAAGGTAGTGCAGCTTCAGTGCTGCGTAACCTGAATCTGTAAGCATATTAGGGCTCGTTTCTAGTCATGGCCTAAATGTTCACAGCACACCGGCTGTTACAACACTCAATCTGATTGGTTCGGGAGGGAACAAGACAGTGCAATAAGGGCCTTTTCCTACGAGCCGGGCGATCAGTGATCATCAGTACCAGTATCAGAAGTCATCAAGTACCAAGTTCGGGCTGCTTGACGACGCACGTCAGCATCGCATAGGAACAGCTAATTGGCCAGCTGAGACTCCGATTCGCCAAAGTCACACAGCGCAGCGTGCGCCCGCCGCGTGCAGCTGAGGCGAATCCAAACGACGGCCAGTAACGCACGCCAGCTTCAAACGAGAGGTCAGAACAAGGGGCGACGGACACTAAAAAGAAAGCGACGGTTTCGAACTGCTTTTATTTTTTACTTGCTGAGCACTTGTGATGGCTGGAAAAACTTGTTTTTGGTCAGGATTGTCCATCGAGAGCGTGGACTGCGACTTTCCACTGCGGATCGCTAACATCGCGTGGCCAACCCATGAGTGCGACACTTTTCCGCCCAGTCCGATTTTCAGGCCGTCAAGGCTTGATCAGACAGCAGATCAAACTAGCCTGGTACAGATCACTAGGGGTGCAGACAGAAGCCCCCCTACCACTCCGTTTTTGGGTGTTTTTGGGTGTTTCCCTAGCTGTACCGGTACAAGCTGAATGGTGGTCTGACTAGGGGATAGGGATGCGCCCTTACACAGGGGCACGAGTGTTATCTTATTTAACCACAACAGAGAATGTCAAAAGAGCTCCTTTCCATTCAAACTCAAATTGTTTTGGCAGCACCCTGATTTCTAAAGAAAATCACCAAAACGTAACTACTCCATTGGAGATCGTTAGTGCCCCCAAAAGGGGATGTTTCACTATGTCAAGATGTGCAACAGCCTAGATCAACACAAGTCCATCTACTGCTATGGTTACAGTGAAAGCCACAACCTATGAGGTCTCTGGCGCACAGCAATTTCACACCTATGGCACATGTCCTACACCCAGCTAGATCAGCTCCATCTACAGATAAGTGGGGCGCATCGCACACGGCTGCCAGAGAGCGCCGACTGGCTCTGGGATGTGGCAAGTGGCTTAGCGGAGGCAGAAATGTGGCTCGTGTATTCACCAGACTTGCATTGTGCCAAGCCAGTCTGGACTCGTTTCCAAGTTGCAGCATGCTACACGCCTTATCACACACGGGCGTGCCTTGCCCTGCCTGGAATGCCTGTCCCCCTTTGAGCTTCCAGCCTTGCCCTTCCACCTGCCCCTTGCCCTGCTGCAGGCTGCACCCACCATCACCCGCCACTGCCCGCACCTCACATGCACCTGTGCTGCCCCTGCCATTCCCCCTTCTCGCCCTCTGCGCCCTGCTCTAACCCACCGGCCACCACTCCCCTCACCCCTCCCCTCCCTGCCTGCTGCGCGTCACCAAGGCGCCGGTCGCACGGCAAGGCACAGCGCTCCAAGCGCTGCTGGCAGGGAGGCGGGCCCCCAGCCCGCAGGTGCACGCACAGGCAGCAGCGGGGAAGGGGCGTCACGAGACGAGGGGCGAGGGGCGGCATGGGAGGCTGGAGGAAGTCTCGAGAGGAGGCTGCCTCGCAGCCCAGTCAAACAGTTAGCTCGCTGGGCGGGCATGAGCGCCCCACACGAACTGCTGCCCTGCCTAAGCGCCCCACACGCACTGCTGCCCTGCTGCACACATACTTGGGGTGCCTGGGCGTCTGGATGTCTGGGTGGTTGCACACTGCATGGATGGGTCGATGCATGGCTTGCTTGGCGCCAACTGCAAGGCTGGAAAAATGGAAAGCGGGATGATTCCGCTGCCGATTATTGGACGGACAGCCCCAACGAGTCAGCTGGCTGAAGAATGAGTTAACTGGAGCGATTCCCCCACCACCTCATCCGCCGCGCGCGTCAGTCCGTCTCGCAGGTGCGCCGTTGCCACGCAAAGCCGTGCTCCTCCAGCCGCTCGCCCGCCCGAGCGGGCAGTGCGTGCATCCAGTCCCAGTCCGCCGCGATCTTGCGCAGCACGCGCAGCTTGGAGTCCAGCCCGAAGCAGCACGTGGCGTGCACCGTCACCAGCTCCGCCAGACGCGCGCCCATCTCGCAGAACCCGCCGAAGTGCGCTGTGGGCAGGTAGCGCACCGTCAGCGGCGTCGCCGTGCGCGTGAAAGGGTTGGCCTCGGGGCGGATCCAGTCGAAGATCTGCTGGATGCGGTGCTTCGGCAGCCTGGGGCGGAGGGGGGTTTGGGGAGGGGGGGAGGGGGGGGGCGGGGGGAAGAGAGGGACAGGGCGAGTAGAGTGAGTGAGATGGGGGGCAAGCAGATGTGTGCTAGTGGCCGGAGGGAGGCAATGGGCAGCAGGAGGTGGTGAGTGCAGGGCCGTGAGAGTGAGAATGAGAGTGAGGCGGTGAGAATGAGAGTGAGGCAGTGAGAATGAGAGTGAGGCGGTGAGAGTGAGGCGGTGAGAGTGAGGCGGTGAGAGTGAGGCAGTGAGAGCGGGGCAGCAGAGCGATAGCGAGGCGGAGAGGCTCACCGTTTGTGCCAGGCGATCCAGTCGTCAAAGAACTTGAGCATGCGCGTGTTGCTGCGCGCCGCGTAGAAGCCGCCGTTGGCGACGACGGCGCGCGAGTTGGCATACCACCAGTCGACGCTCATGTGCATGTCCTCGGGCGCCGCCAGCAGCAGCGACGGCAGCGGGTTGCGCAGCCAGAGAATGTCGTTGTCCGTGAATACCACGTCGAAGCCCAGCGCCAGCATGCTGCGCACCACGTGGACCTTGCGCCAAACCTGCGGGGCCACGGTGGAGGAGGGGGAGAGAGGGGAGTGGTGTCATTGGGTGCGGTATAGTTGCGCGCACGAGGGCAAGGAGAGAAGGGGGGGAGGAGCGGGCGAGGGGACGGTTGAGCAGCGCACCAGTTTGTACCTAAGCGGGCATGGGTCCTACCAGGTGGATGTAGGCGGGCGTCATGAAGTGCTTCTGGTCGCCGCTGAAGTCGTCCTTCTCCTCGGCGTCGTCCTGCCAGTCGTAGTAGCAGTGCAGTCCCAGCGAGCAGCACACGCCGAAGCTCGCGTCGTCGTACGCCACCACCACCAGCCGATCCACCAGCCGGTTCAGCCCCGTCACCCCCGCCTCCGCGCCCTCCGCCTCCTGCGCGTGCCGCTCCGCGAGGCGGAGGCGCTCGAGGAAGAAGCGCATCATGGGCGCCCACGCCTCCGACAGCGCTGTGACTATAACGGTGCGCGACAGCGACGACGCCCGTGCCGCCTCCACCAGGCTGGCGGCGGCCGACTTGCCGCCGCCCTCGTCCGCCGCGGCGCCGAGGGGAGGTGCATCTGAGGGCGGGTGATCCGGGTCCAGCAGCGCGGCGGGCCCGCCATACTCCTCCTCCAATGCCGCCGCCAGCGCTGCCGCTGCCGACGGATCGCCGCCCGCCGCCGTGACCGCTCCGTCAAGCACGTCCTTGAGCGTTCTGCGCGCCCGCGGAGAAACGCAGGGGGGGAGGGAGGAGCAGGTTGGGCACAACGTGGAGTCGAGGAGAGACACGGAGGGAGGCATGCGAGACACGCGCAGGAAGCATGAGAGGCACGCGCGGGAGGCTTGAAAGACGCGCGGGACCACGAGGCGAGGGCGACGAGGGCAGCGCTAATCAAGAAGCTCCAACCCTAAGCAGCTGGCGCCGATCGACGAGACTGCGGCGTTGAAACGCGCAAGCACAGACAGGGAGGCGAGGGGCGGGGAAGTGACCTACCTGCATTTCGAGCACGAGGAGGGTTGTCGGCTGGAGAGTGGTTGGTCGGAGGGTGGTTGGTCGGAGGACGACGCGGTGAGCGACGCGAGGAACGAGCGGTCTGGTCTGTCGGCCTCGTCGAGCGCCCGCCGAGGCACGGACGATGACGACCACTCCAATTGCGGTCTCAGCGCACTGCCGCCGCTGCTGCTGCTGCTGCTGCTGCTGCCCCCAAGGCCTCGCCTTTGCCCACCGCACACGCCGTCGCGCGCCTGATCCACCAGCACTCTCGCCACCCTCGCGGGTACCGCCGCTGCTCTCCGCTTCGCGGGGTGCAGCCGCACCATGACGAATGCGAGCGACGCGATCGCGAAGACGGTGAGCAGCAGCCACAGGCGCGGCAGTCTGCGGTGGCGCATGGTGAGGCGCGGCCACAAGGCGGCGGGGCCTAGAGAGATGGTGCAGAGCACGGAGGCATAGGGCGAGGCGAAGTGCGACGAGGCGGTGAGCGGGTGCGCGCTGTGTCTGGAGGACGAGTGGAGCGGGTGCTGCTGGGACCTAAGGAACGGCGGGGTCAGCGTGGACGCGCATCTACTGTCTCGATCGCACGGTGCAGGCTCCGTGCACGCTCCCATCTACGATACGAAACGCTGAAGTCGTGATGAGGGTCAAAGGCAAGATCTCGCGAAGATATAAAGCTGCTGTTAGGGTTCTTCCCGTTTCAGCTGCTAAATTGGTCGAACAACGGCACTAAGAGTGTGTTGTAAGCTTTTGGTAGCGTCAACTACGGCAGGTGGTTTGGTGCTAAGAAGAAGCTATTACATGATTCAAGTATGCGCTGAGTAGAAAGGCTGACTGGAGGAAGCTCCAAGAAACACGCGCAAGGCCTGGACCTGCTGCTGCCACCTTTGCTGCTCGGTTTCTCAACAGGATGCCATCTTGCCCTTCGTTGCCGCCTGTCCCTCTCATGCTAGTCCGCCTCGCTGTTTGTTACTCACCGTTTAGCTTTCGGTGGCCTTCGCAAGCCTTTCGGCACCCAACCAAGCAGCAAGGAAGAGCCTGTGGATCGGCTAGCCTCGCCGCACTCGCCTCGCCACTAGGACCTCCAGGCCCAGGTTCGGTGGGGTGGGGCCATCTGATGATGGATGGCTTCCCCTCTTCCACCAGGTCGTTTCCGCTGCGCCCCTGCGCGCGGTGGTGGTGGGGCACCGAGCTAGACCCTA